GCTTGTGTGCGTATCCCTTCCACTACGGTTGCGTGTTGCTAGCGTGGGCATTCTGGCATCACTGGCGTGAGTTTGCGTGCGGAACAGCGGTTTGTTATATAGAGGCGATCTTGAGAGGCGAAATCAGGCGAGAGCGATTGTGGCCACGAAAGGAGAGGATCCCGGCGATCTCCAAGGGCGGACTATCTGTGAGCGGGAGGACAGCGTCACCCCGAGCCGTTCCGACGGGAAAAGAAGTACCGGTGAGGTTATCCTTCGCCATATTCGCCAATCGCGATCGCGCCCGGAATCGTTTCGTTCTGTCGTCGTCGCCGTGAATTCATACTTTAGTGTACGGGCTAAGCCCGATTCTTTAGTGTAGATTTTCGCGTCACGGCCACGTCGTCAAGCGATTCGAGCCCCGGAGCCTCGAAAGTATCGGTTTCCGCGGATCGAGACATTGCCTCGCGTTTTTAATGAACCGTGTGTCGTCTCTCTGGAGATTCGGATTCCGTAGATTATATTTGCGTTGGTTCTCGCACATCTAGCATTTAAGTCTCGCTCGTGCTGTATGTCGGTCGTTTGAGTGTGAGTGTGATTCGCGTCAAATTGTGTTATATTACTTTTGTCTTTCGTTTGTGAATCTTCGCGTCTAAACTTTGCGTGCACGTCCGGTCGTGCACGTCCGGTGCAACTTTCCTTCACGATTATTGTACGGTTGCGTGAGAGTGTGAATCGCGTAAATTCGACGTATTCTGTCGGTTGTAAAGCACCGCGTCTCGAGATTGTGAGCGCGTTTTGTGAGAGTTTTTTCGCGATTCTTGCATGAATTGCGTGCGTGTGTGTGCCGAGCATTTGATTCTGCGTAACATGTCCGTCCGAAATCGAAGCATGTCCGCGTTGTATTAATTGCCTGTTAATCTTAAGTTGCGTATTAATAATTTAGCGGTAATAGGGGGCGATAAGGTCGTCGTAGGCGAGGTGATATCGAGAATTGATCCGGGCTTGCGCCCGAATTATAGAAGAACGCAATAATCAATTTCTTCGCAGTGCGAGGCGTAATTCAAGCCGAGCGAACATTCCGGCCGATATAACGGGTCGGTCTCGGCATACGTATTACGGGACGTATCTTGACTAGATAAGCAATCATTGGCTATTATCTAGAGGATTTTTAGAGTCTTGAAGAATTTTGTTGAAATCTCTAGAAATCTTCCCAGCAAACACAGAATGTAACTGCTATATAACATGGGAATAACATGTAATATAACGGTTGTTATACCTAATTTATATTGGGAGTATAATCGATCACCAATTTCGAGTTTAAAAGTGCCCCGTGCCAAACTGATCGACTTGATAAGGTTTTCCAGATAGGCCTGAAACGAAAAGGATTTAAATTAAAGTGACATACAAATACTTGGCGTGCCCGTGTCGCATTATAAGTCATATATTTGTAATAAACCGCTTTCGCGAGGCGGTGACGGATAACTCGGTCGGGATCCGGGGCTCGTGAAAGAGGGTATCGAGATACGAACGAAAGTAGTGTTTAAGAAAATATAATTTATTGCGTGGTAATGTGTGTTTGTACAGTGCGCGTGTATGTGTATGAACGAAGTGTGCGAGTGGGCGTGTGTATGTGTGCGTGTGAGACGTTTGACGAGTGAGTGAGCGCGCAAATGTATAACAATGATTAGCGGAGCGCAGAGTATCGAATGTATCGCGGTGTGTGTGTCTCGGTCGCCCGTACGGTGGTACGGCGGCGTGCGATATATAAATGCTTATAATCGTTTGAATTTAGATATTATATAAATGCTTGTACAATGCTGAACGGATCTTGGTGCGGTCGTATCGGGTGCGGTACGGCCGACGAGAACACCCGTCGATAGCAGGGAACTCCCCACCACTAGAAAGTTGTCGTTGCACGCATGCGGTCGGATTTATGCGAGGTGTCGAGTACTCTCGACGGAGACGAGTACGCCCGTTCCCGTTTGCCTCGTTTTAATCGGTTTCGGAAGGATCGCTCTCGGAGATGCCGCAAACTCTCGGCGGAGGCTGAGTACACCCAACCCCGTTTTCTCTCTCTCTGAGCGGTTAAGGATCTAGGCGGTTTACAGGCGTCTTACAGATTCTGGCGGTGCGGAAGATCTGGTCTCGATGTTCAGAAACGCGCTCTATTTATACCGGTTTTCGATAAAGCGAGATATCATCGCTCGAATAATTGTGAAGTGCGGCTCATATTTCTTTGTGTGTGAATCATTGACTGTTCTGCCCGACACCCCCGAAACCAGACATTTCTCGGGTTCTTTACTAAACATTTTTTGGTCCTTCGAGCCGGATTGATGGGTGCGGTAACGAACATCTCAAGGTGAACTCTGTGTGCGGATTAAGAAAATCGTGTGTGCTTCCACGTGCTACCGGCGAAAATTCGAGAACGATCCTCATCGTGCGTGTTCGGCGACGCTCGGACGGACTCGGGCGCTCGGCAAGCGATCGTCGCCGCCCGTAGAGCGCTTTCACTCTCTCTCTCTGACATCCGTCGCGCTCGGTTACTCGTGCGTGTCCGGCGACGCCCGGACGGATTCGGGCGCTCGGCAAGCGAACGTCGCCGCCCGTAGTGCGCTCTCACTCTCACTTTCTCTCTCTCTGACATCCGTCGCGCTCGGTTACTCGTGCGTGTCCGGCAACGCCCGGACGGATTCGGGCGCTCGGCAACGGATCCTCGCTACGTATACGGCGTTCTCTCTCACTCCCTTGATGGTCTTCGGCCATCTTGTGAATATACGACGACCGGTCACCGGTCTCTATGATCGTTAGCGCCTTCTCTCTCACTCGGACATTGTGAGCTCGCGCGGTATACGGACCTCTCTCTCGCATTTTTCGGATATTCTCATCTTCTGTCGGAATTTCTCTTTCTCTCTCGTGGGTCACTTCCAGTGGTATTCTCAGCGGTAACGGCGATTTCAGCCATCATCATGTCCAACCTCGAAAATCTCTTTTCAAATGAATCGGCACACTAACATCAAGTCAGTGGCTCTCGAGTGTAAGGAACCGACCTTCCCCACTCTTCAACTCCAAATGCTCAAGGTGAAACTCGACCTCATCGATAACAACTGGCAAAAGTTTGAAGCCACTCACGAACGGATGGCGGAATCCAAAGCGGAGCTCCTCCTGGATCACGATTATTTCAAGAAAAAGGTGTGCGATCAGTGTCTCCTATATTATGCCGACGCCAAAGCCGCATTGCTCATGCAGATTGAAGAGAAGGAACGGACTCACCCTCTGTCGGGCTCACAGCTAGCCTCTCAATTGGCGGCCAGACCTCAGCGCGACGTCATCTTCCGGAGATCACTCTTCCACAATTCTCCGGTGACTTCTCAGCGTGGAGGCCCTTTCATGATCTCTTCTCCTCCTTGGTTGGACGGAATGCGGATATATCAAACGTGGAGAAAATGCACTACCTCCGGACTAGTCTTTTGGGCGAAGCCGCTCAGCTAATCTCCAATTTGCTGGTTTCTGAGAACGCGTTCGCGTCAGCCTGGGACCTTCTCGTTAATCGGTATGAAAATAAGCGACTTCTCATTTCGGCTCAGGTGGATTGATTATTCCGCACCAAGACCATCTCACAGCGGTCGGCCAAGGAGCTCAACACTCTTCTCAACACCACAACGGAAGCGCTCAATGCCTTGGAGTCTCTCGGAGCTCCTGTTCAACACTGGGATCATCTCTTGGTCCACCTCATCGTCCAGCGACTCGACCCAAGCACCCGAGAAACCTGGGAAGTCAAGCTTGGCTCCACCACGGACCCCCCTTCATACAAGGACATTCGCACATTTCTCACTGGGCGCGCCCGATCCATGGAGAGTATGGAGTTCGGAACCTCGAGCTCCTCTCCAGCACACAAACCAGCTTCCTCGGCATTACGACAGACCAGCAAAACGTCGGCGGCCACCGCTCATGTGGCCATCTCACCCCCTTCCGGAAACTCGAAAACCTCCGGATGTGCACTTTGCTCTGGCCCTCATTACATTGTCTCTTGCCCTCATTTCAGAGATATGTCTGCTCATCTGACGCAGCTACACAGACGTCGGCGCCGGCCTCACCATCTAAGAGCACCGCATCAACGGCTTCGGAGTGACTTGCACCCGCAGGCCTCCCTCAACCTCACTCGGTAATTCTCACTCGCCCGGCAATCTTACTCGCTACTTGTTGCGCTACCATCAGATCACCTTGCGGTTCTCCTGACTCGGTAAGGATGCTCATCGATCCCGGCTCTGAACTCACCTTTGCTTCCGGGCAACTCATCACAACTCTCAGATACCTCGACGGCACGCCTCTATCCCTATCATCGGTATTGGAGGATCTCAGTCGGAGCGAACTCGGGGTGTCGTTCCGCTCACCCTTCACTCAATTTACTCTTCGCAATCCATCAACGTTACTGCCTACATCCTCAAGAATCTAACAACATCACTCCCGTCCATGGCGACAGCAGAATATAGTTGGCCTCACCTTCACGGGCTCCAGCTGGCGGATCCAGATTTCCTCATCCCCGGACCTATAGACTTGATCCTCGGTGCTGACTTCTACGGGCTGTTCATCCAGCCCGACATCATCAAAAGGTCTGAGGAGGAACCCATCGCTCAACGCACTATTTTCGGATGGATTGATCTCGGCCCGACCTCGGCACCTACTGCCTCAGTTCATAGTTTTCATCATGTTGCAGTTGATCATGAGCTTCACGACCTCCTCACGAAGTTCTGGATACAAGAAGAGGTGCCTTCATCCTCCACCACTCAGCTCAATCATGACGAAGAGGAGTGTGAAACTCAATTCAAGGCCACGCATTCACGAGATCGTGCGGAGCGTTATGCGTACGGCTCCCTCTCAAATTACAGGCAAGTCAACTAGGGGAGTCACGGTCAACTGCCCAACGTTGCTTGCAACGGACACTACGGCGCCTCTCAACGGATTCTATCTATCAGAATCTGTACTCATCATTCACTCTGGAGTACGAAGAGCTTCAGCACATGGTCAGGGTTCCCCCTTCCTCTCCAGAACCATCACCGGTGTTCTACCTCCCTCACCATGGAGTTCTCAAAGATGACAGTATTACCACAAAACTACGAGTGGTGTTTAACGGATCCAGCCTCACCAGTACGGGATCTTCTCTCAACGATATTCTGCACACGGGTGCAAAACTCCAAGCAGACATCTCAGATATCTTACTCTGGGTGCGACGACACTGGTACATCTTTATCACTGATATCACCAAAATGTTCCGCCAAATTCAAGTTCATCCGGACGATTGGGATCTCCAACGGATCCTCTGGGTAGATGATCAGCTCAACATCATTCCGTACCAACTCACGACGGTCACATATGGCACCCGATCAGCTCCCTTCTTGGCTGTTCGCGTCTTCCTCCAACTAGTCGAAGACGAAGGTAAGAACTACCCCCTGGCGGTCTCTCCTCTTCTCAAGGGCAGGTATGTGGACGACATCTGTGGTGGTGCCGACACTCTCCCGGAGCTGACCTCCATCGCTCACCAACTAGTGAACCTCTGCAAGGCGGGCGGCTTTCCTCTGGCGAAGTGGCAGAGCAATCATCCTGAACTACTCCAGGCTCTTCGTACGGACATCACCGCCGCGACGCCGCACTCGTTTGATAACGCTCAAGGCAAAATTTTGGGACTCACATGGCATCCTCACTCTGATCAGTTCGTCTTCTCGTGCAAGGCCTCCAACCGGCCCGTTATCACCAAACGGACCATACTCTCAGAAGTAGCGCAACTATTTGATCCTCTGGGATTCCTATCTCCGGTAATCATCAGAACTAAGATGCTCATCCAGGAACTGTGGCTAGAAAAGGTCGGCTGGGATGACTGCCTCTCGCCGCAACTTCGACATCGGTGGACTCACTTCCGTTCAGAGCTGTCTGACCTGACTTCCATCACGATTCCTCGGTGGCTGTCTCTCACGCCGTCAACCATGGTCGAGCTTCATGGATTCTCGGATGCTTCGCAACTCGCCATGGCGGCGGCGGTTTATATCAAGGTCATTTCTCACCCAACAGAGCCAATCATCACACTAGTGTGCGCCAAAACCAAGGTTGCACTTCTCAAAAGGCTCACCATTCCCCGACTGGAACTCACGGCAGCGATTCTACTCTCTCGTCTCATCAGCTATGTTCAACGAACACTAGAACTCGCGGAGATACCAATCTACTTGTGGACGGACTCTTCGGTATCGCTCACCTGGATAAACAGTCATCCCTCTCGCTGGAAAGACTTTGTTCGTAATCGAGTAGCGGCAATTCAAGAACGCGTACCTCAAGGCCATTGCCGGTTTATTCCCGGCAAGGAGAACCCAGCCGACTGTGCTTCTCGCGGCCTCTCTTCCGCGCAACTCTCTCGGCATCATCTTTGATGGAATGGTCCCTCATGGTTAGCACAGCCTCCTCAACATTGGCCAAGCATGGCATCACAGCCAGATTCGGCGGCGACTCTTGAGGAACGGCCCGGTCTTTTTCTCACCTCCTCAACGGTAAAGCAACACCACTTCTGGGAACTCCTCTATCGTTACTCATCACTCATACGGCTTCTTCGGATCACTGCTCTCTGTCAACGGTGTTGCGCGATCCTCAAAGGTATACCACAGTCCTCTCTGGCCACCCCCCTCACACCTGCAGACCTCGAAAGTTCACGACTATATTGGATTCGGTCAGTCCAATTGGCCTACTTCTCATCTGAACTGACAATAATCTCAAGCGGAGCATACTTGTCAAGGTCTCATCCTCTCGCCAAGTTTACGGCCTTCATCGATCATTCGGACATCCTCAGAGTCGGAGGCCGACTCAGGCAGTCTCAATTGGACCCTGAATGCAAGCACCCAGCCATCTTGCCACGGGATTCATATCTGTCTCAACTCATTATATCGGACGCTCATCTAAGGACTCTTCACGGCGGAACTCAGGTAACCTTGACATATCTTCGCCAGGCTTACTGGATCGTTGGTGGCCGAGCCTCAGTGAGATCTTACATTCTCCGCTGCGTTCGGTGTGTTCGACAACGTGGCGTAAGGGCACAGCAACTCATGGGTCAACTGCCATCATCTCGCATTTCGCCATCTCGTCCTTTCCTCAACACACGGGTTGATTACGCCGGCCCTATCACTCTCAAAACTTGGCGAGGACGAGGGGCTAAGTGTCACAAAGGCTGGTTAGCCATCTTTGTTTGCTTCTCAACGTCGGCGGTTCATCTGGAGGCAGTGACAGACTACTCTACAGAGGGGTTCATCGCAGCATATCGGCGGTTAACGGGACGGCGAGGTATCTGCCAAACTCTATTTAGCGACTGTGGAACCAATTTTCTCGGGGCAGATACATCTCTTAGGCGGTTATTCAACGCCGGATCAAAGGAATTCTCGGAACTCGCTCAGCTACTAACCCATGACGGCACCACTTGGGTCTTTAATCTCCCGGCAGCCCCCCACTTCGGCGGTAAATGGGAGGCCGCAGTCAAATCGGTCAAGCATCACCTACGACGGACTATAGGCGAGACTGCCCTAACCTATGAAGAACTTACAACTCTTCTGGTCCAAATCGAGGCAGTCCTCAACTCTAGACCATTGTGCCCACTGTCAGATGACCCGGAAGACCTGGCAGCCCTCACTCCCGGGCATTTCATCATCGGAGCAGCGCCAACAACAATTCCTGAGCCATCTCTCACCTCAGTGCCTCTCACAAGGTTATCTCGGTGGCAGCTCATTCAGCAGCAACTCCAACACTTCTGGTCGCGTTGGTCAGCTGAATGTCTTCAACGTCAGCTTGCAATATCAAAATGGCATCATCCCTCCACGCAAATCAAGGTCGGCTCTCTCGTACTTCTTACGGATGAGAGATTCCCTCCATCAAAATGGCCTCTTGCTCGGGTCACCCAACTTCATCTTGGTTCGGACGGTCTATGCAGAGTGGTCACCCTTAAGACGGCCACCACAGAACTCAAGCGGCCTATCACCAAGTTAGCAGTGCTTCCGATGACACCAGATCAACCCTCACTCACACAGCAATCAACTACTGATCCGGCCTCACCATCATCAAGATCATAATTCTTCAACGCTGTTGTAGAAGGCGGGCGGAATGTTCAGGAAATATCGCTCACTTTACTCAATCTTTGCACCGGCATCTCACTTACTCTAGTCCTTCTCTCTAGCATTCTCTCTCTCTTCCTTTTTCCTCTTGTACGCGGCCGTGACCCAATCCCGCAGCCTGTTCTATCAATCTAACTAGTCTCGCGCAATGTTATCACCCAATCATAAGCACGCTCTCAGGACCTTATCCGCGCTCCTGCGTCGATATCGACCCTTCCGGAAATCCTCGATCATTCTGTGAGTACCGGTCTATCGTGACGCACGTTGCCTTTAGAACAGTTTTACGCTCTCTGAATATTCGGTTTAGATTCTCGTGGCTCTGCTCAAGTGAACTCTAATACGGTTGTCTCAAACGGTCATTGTCATCTCCCGGAAATTAACAGCATCAAATTAAAGAATCATACGCGCGTGAGGTGTGTGCTATCCCGTCTCGGGACACCGGGGCCTTGTACGCAGTTATCGTGTGAAGCACGCGGTACGTCGTAAATCGACGTAATATTCTCTTGCAACCTCTCTCGAATTCCTCGGCGGATTCCTCGGTTTTTCTCAAATACAAACTATAAAACTATTGCATAGTATCCTAGAATAATAAGAATTAGTGTAATAATAAGAATAAAGCGAGATATCATCGCTCGAATAATTGTGAAGTGCAGCTCATATTTCTTTGTGTGTGAATCATTGACTGTTCTGCCCGACACCCCCGAATCCAGACATTTCTCGGGTTCTTTACTAAACAGGGGGGGACATAGTAGCGTAATTTTATAAAAATAAAATTCATTTTAATTTTCTCGAGA